AAAGTTAATAAATACATATCTAAAAATTGAAAAATTGAAAACCTGTAGAAACGGCAAATTGTATATCGAAAACTCCAAGAAAATAAAAAGGAAAACATAAAATGGTCAAATTAATAAAACGAAAAATTGGAAAATACAAAATTTTCACAAGTTGAAAAATCAAAAAACTATAAAATTTAAAAATTGCATATAGAAAAATTTTAAACACAGAACCTGAAAAATAAAAAATTAAAACATCTAAAGATTGAAAGGTCTAAAAACTATAAAAATGAAAACATTGAAGATCGTAAAACTGAAATCCAAAAATTGTAAAAATGAAAAATTGAAAAACCGAAAAACTGGAGAATAAAAATTGAAAATCTAAAAATTGAAGAGACGAAAAATTAGAATATGTACATAACAATTGAAAAATCGAGGATTTGCAAAATGGAAAACTGAAAATAGAAAAACTACAAATCGAAAAATGGTAAAAAAAGCAAAATGGAAAATTGAAATGGTGAAATCGAAAAATTAAAAATCAAAAAACTTAAAAATTAATAACCCAGAAAATGAAATCAAAAATTGAAAAAATAAAAAACTAATTATCTAAAAAGAGAAATACCAAAAAAATCAAAAGTAGAAATATTGCAAAATGAAAAGAAATGAAAGTTAATAAACGTATCGAAAAATTGAAAAATTGTAGAAACGGCAAATTGAAAATCGAAAAACTGAAGAAAAGAAAACTAAAAACATCTAAAACTGGAAAAGTCTAAAAATTATAAAATATGAAAATTGAAATCGTAAAATTGAAACACGAAAATTTGACAAAATAGAAAAAATTAAATCCAGCAACTGAAAAATCGACAAATTGAACAACTGGAAAATTTAGAGTTGAAATACAAAAAAATACCGAAAAACGCAAAAAACCTGAAATGTCGAAAAAATGTAAAATTGAAATATTGAAAAGGCAAAATATTGCAGGATCCAAAAGTTGAGAAATGAAAAAACTGCAAAAATGGAAATATTTAAAAACCGAAAAATCGCAAACAAAAAAATTGAATAATCGAAAATTAAAAATTAGGAAAGTAAAAAATTCCAAAAACGGAATAATCGAAAAATCGGAGAACAGCAAAATTGATGTCTTTAAAAACAAAAAACTAGAAATCGAACAATCGAAAAACGTAAAATTTAAAAGAAAAAAAAATATTCTCTTCACTCGTTTTTCCAGAAAAAATGCAAAATATAAAATTTTAAACATGTTTTAAGTTTCTTGTTGTGCAAAAAAGACTACATATGTTAAGAAAAAAAAAAGGCAAAATATTAGCCCCGACCACCCACCCTATCTCAATTGTGATGATTTTTTTTATTTGTCGTGAGCCGAGGGGTGAAGCTTAATTGCAATTCTCATTTTTCTCTAAGAAATTACCAAGTGAAACATATCCTAAATAACGAAGTAAAACTTTTAAAAGTCCAAGAATTGAAAAGTAAAAAAAAAGAAAAAATAAAGCTCGGGAATTAAAAATTCTTGAATGAATGTTCGTTGAAACTTATTCTTGATTCATTCTCCACTCGTTTTTCCAGAAATGGCCAGCTTAAAAACCTGTATCATATGAATATCGACAAGGTTGACTTTTAATAACCGAAAAACTTACAAGGTAACAGACAATTAACTCCGTCGTTCATTTCAATTTTTAAACTGGCGGCGTCATGAAACTGAATTCAGACAAAAATTTCAGAGACAAAAGTTCCCATTCAGCGATTCGTAAAAATGCCGATTTTGCAGGAAAAATCGGTTTTGCTTCAGAGGCCAAGGAATTTCGCCGCTCGCAAATTGGCAGCCGTTTTTTAATTAGCCGATAGCATCGACAATAAAGACGGTTTATCGAACACAAAAACGCACCGACAATTACATTTCACAGTACCATGCTTGACTGAATATTAATAACGCAGTAATAACGTGATTAGATTCACAAATAAACCCGAACAAATACGCGCAAACAAACACCAACGTATTGTACATTTATTAAATTAAATTATACGTAAGCTGGTGAAAGGGCAATTAAAATCCAAATTTAATTAATTCGTGGTGCGGTGTTCTATTGGAGTTATTTTCAAAAATGAACTCTGGAAATTAGCCAGCGCCAAGTTCGGTCGTAAACTTCCAACGTAGTTTTGCATATGTTTATCTTGAGGTAATTAAAAAAATGCTGCTAAATGGAATTTTGTTGATATACGGGCAATATTTTTAAATGATAACACTACAGGGTTTTTATTCAAATTGCCATGTTTGTGTTGCTTTTATCGCTTTTTGTCTGCGTGAATAAATTATAAGTACACATTAGCAATGTTGGGCGGAACGAATTTACTGATATGGGAAAAACGCGCCAATTTTCAAAAGGGGTCAATTTTTACTTCCCGAGCGTAAGCAAAGGAAGTATTGTAATCGAGTCCGTCAGCCGACTCTCTATTTTTACGTTTTCTCGATCTTTCATGACCCCTAGAAGACGAAGAAATAGGTCTCCCATTTCCGTCTGTCCGTCCGTCTGTCCGTCCGTCTGTCCGTCCGTCTGTCCGTCTGTCCGTCTGCCCCCGGATTTTTATTAGACAGATAATCTCCGAAAGTACTCGACCGATTGTTGTGAAATTTTGTACTTATATTAAGAATATCATGTAGATGGTAAAACGCTAACCAAAATTTGTCTAATCATCCCCACCACTAATGCGATGACGTCACTTCAAAATTGTACATAGTAAATGGGTTTTCAATTGTATAAAATAACATAGTCCTACACATGTAGTTTACAACTCTGAATCGACTTTTCACCCGAAACGTCCAGATTTTGGAAAAAAAATCAAAATTATAAAACAACATTTTGAAATTTAATTTTTAATCTGCTAACCAGAATGCTTTGAAATGTTGCAGATGTTTTAAGGCTATAAAGAGCATCATAAATCTTTAGTCAAAAAATATTTGCTTATCCCCTCCAAAAACTTGATGACGTCAGCTCAAAAGTTTGTGGCATAAATCATATCTAAAATGTACAAAATATGATGAGCCTGTACTTGTCATTTATCACTCCATTAATATTTTTTGGATTTGCATATACAGAGTGACTCAAAAAAATTAATGAATGCGTAAATATATTTTATTGATTTAATCAGGAACTACAAAACGGAATGCTCTGACATCTTGCACATGTTTTAAGGTTATAAAGAGCATAATAAATGTTTAGTCAAAATATATTTGCTCATCCCCTCCAAAAACTTGATGACGTCAGCTCGAAAATTTGCCGAATAAATCATATCTAAAATGTACAAAATATGATCAGTCTGTACTTGTGATCTATCACCCCATTCATATTTTTTGGATTTGCATATACAGGGTGATTCAAGAAAATAAATGAAAGCGTAAATTTATTTTACTGATTTACTCAGGAACTACAAAACCGAATGCTTCGAAATCTTGAAGATATTTTAAAATTATCATAAGCATGGTAAATTTTTGATCTAAACGTATTTGGTCGTCCCCCCTAAAAAATTTATGACGTCACCACAAAATTTTGCTGAATAAATCCTATCTAAAATGTACAAAATATGGTGAGTCTCTTCTTGTGATTTATCATTCCATTCAAATTTTTTCGATTTGCATATACAGGGTGACTCAAAAAAAATAATGAATGCGTAAATTTATTTTATTGATTTAATCAGGAACTACAAAACCGAATGCTTTGAAATCTTGCAGATGTTTTAAGGTTATAAAGAGCATAATAAATTTTTAGTCAAAATATATTTGGTTATCTTCTACAAAAAACTGATGACGTCAGCTCAAAAGTTTGCCGAATAAATCGTATCTAAAATGTACAAAATATGATGAGTCTGTACTTGTGATTTATCATTCCATTCATATTTTTGGATTTGCATATGCAGGGTGACTCAAAAAAATTAATGAAGGCTTGAATTTATTTTATCGATTTAATCAGGAATTACAAAACCGAATGCTTTGAAATCTTGGGAATATTTTAAAGTTATTATAAGCATGGTAAACTTTTGTTCAAAATGTATTTGTTCATCCCTCCTAAAAAAATTGATGACGTCACCCTTAAATTTTGCTGAATAAATCCTATCTAAAATGCAAAAAATATGATGAGTTTGTACTTGTGATTTATCATTCCATTCATATTTTTTAGATTTTCTTAAGAGGTGGTTCAAAAAAATTAATGAAGTCAATTTATTTTATTGATTAAATTAAAGGCAACACTTATTATTAGTATTGCACCCCAACCAACCCAATTTGGTAGACACAAAATTTGTTAAAGGAAAAACTCGGTTGAAACATAAGGGTAGCACGCTTATTTACATCGACTTTAACATTACAGACCTGCATTTGTTTTATGCGCTCACTTGGTTCCGCGAATGTGAAATAGACATGTTTATAATCAACCAATTGTGAATTTCGCCGTCAAGAATTAAAATAAAACTCAATGTTTTATATAATAAGCGGAAGTCGAAGCAATAAAACCGATGGTCGTTTTGTTTACAGTTTCTCTGTTTGACTCTCACGTATGCTGTTACGCCTGTCATCTTAAATTAAGAATGTTTATACATACACGATTTTCAGTTGCCTCTGATACGTATACGTGAGTAAATTGTTTCGTTATTTTATTGATTATTACAAATCAATATTCAAAACGACCCAATTCATTTTCCCGAAAATTTGAGAATATAATAATTTTATTCTTAGTATTACACTACGTCTATCCCAACTGATATACGTGTCCTTGCAAAAATGTTGATGACGTCATCGCAATTTTTTTTTAAATTCCCACTACAAAAATGTAATGAGAAAAAAAACACAATAGGCATGCAGTCGTCAAGTTTCCGACAGTGAGGGAAGTACTGTCTAAACTCTTTAGACCAATTTTTTTAGTGGTAGTAGTGTCCCTAGCGCCTATACCTGGGGTGAAATTTAATCCCTAACTTCACCACTTAGGATCCAATTTAAAAAATTCTTTTCTTTGCAGGTAAACCCTTCCGGCCGCAACTCCTGCGAGAGCCGCTCTCGTCCATTTTTCTTCGCACAATCACCTGCAGCATCCGTCGGCTTTGTCCACCCGGATGAAAAATGTAATGCAGTGCATTATACATTACATAAAATAAATAGCATCCGAGGAGCAGTCGGTCAGCGTTCGGCGGCCCAATAAGCAGCCGGCTAACCCCAAGAGTGGAATGTAAGCCAGTACGACATATAACCGAGTGAACAGCAAATAGCTTTTTCTTTGAGTATAATTTCTGGAAGGAAATTGAGAAAATCTTTTATATTTCCCTTTTTCATTCTCTTTAGGCCGATCATTTTTCATGCCATCTCCATCCGATCTGGCGGCGGTTCGCCGGACCGGTCCAGTTCAATTAAGATGGTGGCGGTCCGCGGGGACGGTGTGCCCCCGGCAGATATATAGATGATAGCCTGCAGTCACCGCGAAATGCGCTTTCGTCCATCCTTTTAATCCTTCCAAGGAAATTGGACGTTGCGGCTTTCATTTGCAAACAGAGGTGGCTGTAATCGCGATTCTGGACAGCGTAGCTGCCGTCGCGCAGTCAAATTCGGCCCGATTTGTCAATCTCCACCCCCGCGGCGCGGCGCGCCGAACGCGCCCTCCGCCCTCGTAACGACGTATTTATTACGATGAGATATCCGTCGAAATGAAAAATCTCTTAATCAGAAGAGAGAGTGCATGGAAATTGAATATGCTCTAAAATTACTTTCTTTCGGTTGACTAAGTTTGTATAAGAATTTGAAAAATCTGAGTGGTATATAGTCGCTTCTTTAGCGAGATACAGTTTTCAATTTAAGGATGTAAATTAGTTCAAATTAAATCGAAAATATGGATTCTTTTCATTCTGCAAGCGATCTAATTAAGATAAGGCGAGGCGCAGTAATAGGTTGGCGTCGAGCGAACCCTCGAGCTTTACTCCAGCGACGTCCCTGTCAATATACACAGGGAGATTTATTTACATTCATACCAGACAGCAAACGCGATTTAAATACGTCACGACGAGCTGTTTCCAATTAGTTTCGCGCTTTTTTACTTCCCGAGCGATCGCCGACGAGAGTGTCGTAACAGCCTCATTTGACCGACTCTAATTCGTATTCGTTGTGAGTTCCGAAGCACGCCGAACCAAAAACTGGACGAAAGTTATTTCGACTGAACTTTCTTGACCTCTGATGTACATTAGAACATAACTTTTTCGAAAATTCGCAGAATTTGATTATTTTTTTCCCTGAAAATACATAGATATTTATTCTTTGCGTAAAACATTTTCAACAAGGAATTTGTTTAAACCTAAAAGTCCAAAGGCTGGTTTTTCAAACCATGATTACATTATTCTTTAAGTATCGTGTTGTTGAAAGAAAACTATATACATATTAAGAAAAAGAAACCTTGATTAATTAGACCCCACCCACCCACCCTTCTCAATTGTGACGAATTTTTCATTTGTTGTCAGATCGAGGGGGCGGAGCTTAATTGCCAAATACATTCTTGTTTGACTCTTTAAAAAAATTATTAAAGAAACTTCTAGTGTCTCTTTTAAGACAATTCTGAAGGAATCTCGGGGGCCACAAGCGTCTATCTTAAATGACTGATACAATCTCGACGCCACATGTCTCAATTTCAAAATAATTATGACACAATTTCGGGGGCCCAAATCTTTTAAGGATCGTGTTGTTGAAAGGAAACTGTCTACATATTAAGAAAAAAAAACTTGATTAATGAAGCCCCACCCACCCGCCCTTCTCAATTGTAACGAATTTTTCATTTGTTGTCAGATCGAGGGGCGGAGCTTAATTGCAAAATTAATATTTGTTTCATGCTTTAAAAAGATTATTAAAGAATCTTTTGAGTCCTGAGTGTCGTTTTTAAGAGGATTATGAAAGAATCTCGGGGGCCACAAGTGTCTATCTTAAATGATTGACACAATCTCAAATCCACATCTGTCAATTTTAAAATAATTATGACACAATCTCGAGAGCCACGAATGTCTTTTTTAAATTATTATGACACACTTTCGGGGCGTCTAATGTTTTAAATATCGTGTTATTCAAAGAAAACTAATACATATTTCGAAAGAGAAACCTTGATTAATTAAGCCCCACCCACCCGCCCATCTCAATTGTGACGAATCTTTCATTTGTTGTCAGATCGAGGAGCGGAGCTTAATTGCAAAATTTATATTTGTTTTGTTCTTTAAAAAAATTATTAAAGAACCTTGGGAGACTCAAGTGTCTTTTTTAACAGAATTATGAAGGAATCTCGGGGACCACAAAAGTCCTCTATTTTAAATCATTGACACAATCTCAAAGCCACGTGTGCCAATTTTGAAATATATATGACACAATCTCAAGGGCCACGGATGTCTATTTTAAATTATTATGACGCAATTTCGGGGCCCTCAATGCTTTAAATATCGTGTTATTGAAAGAAAACTAATACATATTAAGAAAGAGAAACATTGATTAAATAAGCCCCACCCACCCGCCCAACTCTATTGTGACGAATTTTTCATTTGTTGTCAGATCGAGGGGCGGAGCTTATTTGCAAAATTCATGTTTGTTTTATTCTTTAAAAAGATTATTAAAGAAACTTGGGGGTCTCAAGTGTCTTTATTTAAGAGAATTATGAAGGAATCTCGGGGACCACAAATGTCTATTTTAAATGATTGACACAATCTCAAGGCCACGTGTGTCAATTTTAAATTATTTATGACACAATCTCAAGGGCCACGACCCACGAATGTCTTTTTTAAAATATTATGACCTAATTTCGGGGCCCCTGATGCTTTAAATATCGTGTTATTCAAAGAAAACTAATACATATTAAGATAGAGAAACCTTGATTAAATAAGCCCCACCCACCCGCCCAACTCTATTGTGACGAATTTTTCATTTGTTGTCAGATCGAGGGGCGGAGCTTAATTGCAAAATTCATATTTGTTTGGTTCTTTAAAATAATTATTAAAGAACCTTGGGGGTCTCAAGTGTCTTTTTTTAACAGAATTATGAAGGAATCTCGGGGGCCACAAAAGTCTATTTTAAATAATTGACACAATCTCAAGGCCACGTGTGTCCATTTTGAAATATATATGACACAATCTCAAGGGCCACGGATGTCAATTTTAAATTATTATGACGCAATTTCGGGGCCCTCAATGCTTTAAATATCTTGTTATTGAAAGAAAACTAATACATATTAAGATAGAGAAACCTTGATTAAATAAGCCCCACCCACCCGCCCATTTCAATTGTGACGAATTTTTCATTTGTTGTCAGATCGAGGGGCGGAGCTTAATTGCAAAATTCATATTTGTTTGATTCTTTAAAAAGATTATTAAGGAATCTTGGAGTTCGGAGTGTCTTTTTTAAGAGGATTCTGAAGGAATCTCGGGGGCCACAAGTGTCGATTTCGAATGGTTGACACAATTTCAAGGCCACGTGTGTCAATTTTAAAATATTTATGACACAATCTCGAGGGCCACGAATGTCTATTTCAAATTATTATGAGACAATTTCGGAGGCCCCAATGCTTAAAGTATCGTGTTGTTCAAAGAAAACTAATACGTATTAAGAAAGAAAAACCTTGATTAATTAAGCCCCACCCACCCGCCCATCTCAATTGTGACGAATTTTTCATTTGTTGTCAGATCGAGGGGCGGAGCTTAATTGCAAAATTCATATTTGTTTTATTCTTTAAAAAAAATTATTAAAGAATCTTGGGGGTCTCAAGTGTCTTTTTTTAACAGAATTATGAAGGAATCTCGGGGGCCACAAAAGTCTATTTTAAATAATTGACACAATCTCAAGGCCACCTGTGTCAATTTTGAAATATATATGACACAATCTCAAGGGCCACGGATGTCAATTTTAAATTATTATGACGCAATTTCGGGGCCCTCAATGCTTTAAATATCGTGTTATTTAAAGAAAACTAATACATATTAAGAAAGAGAAACCTTGATTAAATAAGCCCCACCCACCCGCCCAACTCAATTGTGACGAATTTTTCATTTGTTGTCAGATCGAGGGGCGGAGCTTATTTGCAAAATTCATGTTTGTTTTATTCTTTTAAAAGATTATTAAAGAAACTTGGGGGTCTCAAGTGTCTTTATTTAAGAGAATTATGAAGGAATCTCGGGGACCACAAATGTCTATTTTAAATGATTGACACAATCTCAAGGCCACGTGTGTCAATTTTAAATTATTTATGACACAATCTCAAGGGCCACGAATGTCTTTTTTAAAATATTATGACCTAATTTCGGGGCCCCTGATGCTTTAAATATCGTGTTATTCAAAGAAAACTAATACATATTAAGATAGAGAAACCTTGATTAAATAAGCCCCACCCACCCGCCCAACTCTATTGTGACGAATTTTTCATTTGTTGTCAGATCGAGGGGCGGAGCTTAATTGCAAAATTCATATTTGTTTTGTTCTTTAAAAAAATTATTAAAGAACCTTGGGGGTCTCAAGTGTCTTTTTTTAACAGAATTATGAAGGAATCTCGGGGGCCACAAAAGTCAATTTTAAATAATTGACACAAGCTCAAGGCCACGTGTGTCAATTTTAAAATATATATGACACAGTCTCAAGGCCCACGGATGTCTATTTTAAATTATTATGACGCAATTTCGGGGCCCCCAGCGTTTTAAATATCATGTTATTGAAGGAAGACTAATGCAAATTAAGATAAAGAAACCTTGATTAAATAAGCCCCACCCACCCGCCCAATTCAATTGTGACGAATTTTTCATTTGTTGTCAGACCGAGGGGCGGAGCTTAATTGCAAAATTCAAATTTGTTTTATTCTTTAAAGGATGATTAAAGAACCTTGGGGACAATTTAAAAAAATATATTATTATTATAAAAAATTCATTATTATCACAAGTAATTACACAACACTTTTAACCCCAAAACTCGAATATTGACCATAGTGTTCATTCCTAAGTAAACACAAGAAATTCATAAGGAATTTGCTTAAGAAATTTCCTAAGAAAAATCGCATCATGTAAACCGACCTTAACAATATCGGATACCTCTTGTGTTTTGTTTTAATCTGGTTTTTGAAGTAGTTGGAAGTAATCTTGAGGATCTCTTTTGTTTTGTTTTTAAAGTTGTTTCGAAGAACATCGGAAATTTATTTTATTTTTGAAGTACTTTGAAACAATCTGGGGG